GCGCCAGGCCCCACGTGTTTTAAATTTTCAATTCAGACTTACCTATATTTGTAAGCACAAAGCTACCTTTCAAGTAAAATATGCTATTTTGAGTGCAAGTTCCATTTCTCTTTTCTACCATCGCAGATAATCAAAGGTTGTTTCTTGGGGTTTATGGAACATATAGCAGAGACCTTCTTAGATTTACAGAGCCCCACAGTCACTCAGCCCTTGTGCGCTTTCACACCCATTCCCTCACCATAGAGTCCATGTGATCGGTAGTAGATTCTTGTCGTGATGCCAGGGTCTCACTGCCTAAAGCTGACGGATACAACAAAGTCAACTTCACTTAGGGAACTACACACTTTAAACAAAAAAAAAAAAAAAACCCTCCATGAACAAGCACAGAAATATTCACGAGGGGAATTTCTCTTAAGTGTCTAATCCCGGACTTTCTCCCAAGTTTTCACCTTGGCAGGGTCACCCACATCTGCCCTGCAGAACTGCATTTTATCTCCTTTCAATCTAGGTTTGGATATGGCCAAAAATTCTGTATACTTTCTCCTTAGGTCAGTGGACAATTTGTCCAAAGGAAATGTATAGGTTGGATTTTTTTGGTTTTGTTCACAATCTAAGAGCCTTTCAGGCCTTAAAAAATATTACTTTTGGTAATATCACATGCATGTAATAAATTAAAATCATACAAAATATTTATGGTGTCAGGTGTGGTGGTGCATACCTGTAGTCCCAGCTACTCAGGAGGATTGCTTGAGCCCAGGAGGTGGAGGCGAGCCTGGGCAACATAGCGAGATCCCATCTCAAAAAAAAAAAAAAATTAAATTTAAAAACATGTATTTTACAGTAACTATAAAGAATATCCCAGGTCGGGCATGGTGACTCATGTCTGTAATCCCAGTACTCTGGGAGGCTGAGGCAGGCAGATCACTTGAGGTCAGGAGTTTGAGACTAGCCTGGCCAACATGGTGAAACCCTGTCTCTACTAAAAATACAAAAATTAGTTGTGTATAGTGGTACACGCCTGTAATCCCAGTTACTCATGAGGCTGAGGCAGGAGAATCACTTGAACTCAGGAGGAGGAGGTTTCAGTGAGCTGAGATCACACCACTGCACTCCAGCCTGGGCAATGGAGTGAGACTCCATCTCAAAAAAAAAAAAAAGAATATCCTCACCTGTAACCTAAAGATTAACCAGTAACATTCAAAGTCAGTATTCCTTAATACAAAAAGGCCTGGGCCCATTTCCTGGGCATTCTCTAGCTCTTTGACTCAGTCTGAGGCCATCTTACAGTCTTTGGACAATTCCTTCTACTGCTCTCTTTGCTACGGATTCTGCTCTCTGGGGGACAGGGTCAGAACAGTAGTCATTTTTTAGTCACTGTAATTCTGCTGATTAGCCAGGTTTAAGAATGCTTGAAGTAGTATTTTCTGTCTCTTCCCATTTGGGAAGTTACTAGTATGCTTGCGAGGAAGAACATGTTCAAACAAAATGTTCCTTTCAAGCACACTAGTAACTTTCCCAAATGGGAAGAGACAGAAAATATTCTCCCTTGAAAGGAACAAAATATTTCTCATCTACTTGCAAAGTCATACCTCTTGGCATAAAGTGTTCAGGTAAGAAAGAGATAACCTTCTCTCTATATAATCCTCTGAAATTCTATTGGCCAGGCAAAAATCAACATCACATGAAAACAAACAGAAGCCCTCCAAAATCTTTAGGGCTTTACTGAAGTAACCCCTGCACTTACTGGGCCAGCTGATGCCATGCTGCCAAGATCAACCCAGGAAGGGACACATGCACCGATCCCTTCAAAGGCAGCTAGCTGTATGCTATCTCTTACCTGGATCGAGGCCCTTGCTCTCCAAAATTGCCAAACAGTTGTCCCGAAACTTCTCCAGCAGCTCTACCTTTTGGGTCAGGTCCTTCAGCTCTCCCTGTTGGAGCACCGCACAGACAGATCAGGAATTGTCCCAATCCCTAGGGGTGGTCGCCCTTTCTTGCCCTTGCTCGTGGACAGCCATAGCAAAAGCCTGGTTTTTTTTTTTTTTCTGCCCTTGGGCATTTGTGCATTAACAAGCTTGCTCACCCAAGGGGCCATCCATCAGGATTCTATGTGCATTGCCCAGTGGTAGCTGGTAACAGAGCTCTGGTGGCTCTCTTACCTGAGTTTCAGTCAACTTCTGGTGCAACTGCTTGTTGACGGCTTCTAAGAGCTGGTTCTTGTCCTTGAGCTCGTCCTCTGATTTTTGCTTACTCAGTGGTTTGTAGCTGTAATAACAGTTGTACTTACATGAAAAGACAAAAGGGTTAAGAGCATGGCCTACACCAGGCGCAGTAGCTCACGCCTGTAATCCCAGCACTTTGGGAGGCTGAGGTGGGCAGATCACCTGAGGTCGATAGTTCAAGACCAGCCTGACCAACATGGAGAAACCCTATCTCTACTACAAATACAAAAATTAGCTGGGCGTGGTGGCGCATGCCTGTAATCCCAGGTATTTGGGAGGCTGAGGCAAGAGAATCGCTTGAACGTAGGAGGTGGAGGCTGTGGTGAGCTGAGATTGCACCATTGCACTCCAGCCTGGGCAACAAGAGCAAAACTCCGTCTCAA